CGGTTCGGTGATATCATCAATGAGGTTTTAGGGTTTAGGGTAAAAGTCGGTTTAGGGAGAGAACCCACATAGCTGTTCGCAAGACATCCTGTAGCCATAGCAACGTCGTTTGCACAGCTACAAAGTGGTTGCGGTGTGCCAAAGTCGCCGTCTGTTGCTCAGACAAACAGGTACCGAATCATGGCCAAGTCACTCTCCACCATCTCTCTCTGCGTATGTGTGTTATGGTGTAGGCTGGTATCAGATCCAAGGACGGGAGATCCACTGTGCGTGCTAAGTCTCAATTGCACAGATGTGTACTACTGTAGTTGTGGGATAGACTATTCCAAGACTTGTCCTACCTCCTGCTAGTGTGTGTATTGTATGAGACCTACATACCACATCGCTACACACATATACATACGACGCACCCGTGTGTATATCAAACGCATCTCCGGCCACAGCCTGTTATGCATACTACCTACTGTTACTAATCTCCACAAATACGTTACGGCGCAGATACGGAAATCGGGTGAAGTCTCGGCCGAGGAAAAACAACAACAGGGGATGCAGGCACAGACAACCATACACCACGATGGCGTCTGTGCAAGCCCATAACTGCAATGAGGCGACTGGGTATGCCATGTAGCTCAGTGTTTATCGTATGTATATGCGGGATGTTGTCTGTGCGTATGTATGTGTGTTTTTATAGGTGTGTATTTAGCGTTACTTGCACATATAGCTGTTTACGTATTGTATACGTATTGAGCCGGGAAAAGTTCGATTAAGGTCAGCTGATTATAAATTGTAAATAAGCGTTGAGCTTCTTCAACAGCATGCACTAGTCGATGTGCATTTAAAGGAACGCCAATTAGGTTCCAACCCGATGATCCCATGCAACCTCGTGTGTCTACGCGTGTCTATACGGGTGCTGAGTTGGCCACGTGAACAAACGAAACTTACTTACGCAATAATACATATCTGCTTCCATATACACGTACACTGACGTCCACATACGACACTCAATCACTTCCATACAGCCATCAATCGAGGAGATTAGACTGCCTAGTGCGGCTGGTCAAATTAGGGGCAGATCCGGCCCTCCGTGACGGATACGGGTGCACACCTTTGCACTACAGTGTGTGGTGTGGGATGGCCAATGAGATGCTGTTCCTTTTGCATGTTGCACCAGAATTGCTCACTATGGCCGATGAAAGGGGCAATACACCCCTGCATTACGCTGCCTTTACTGGTAGGTATATATTGGATTCGAATAATCGATTGAATATTTTTTGTACTCAGCAAGTGGATATTATATATATATATATATTATTATTATATATATATATATATATTATTATATATATATATATATATAT